GGGCTGCTCTATCTTCAGATCACAGAAGGGACTCTTCGCTTTGGTTTGTGCTACCCTTCTCAGCTTGTTTGCCACCTATGGATGAATGAATGACGTAATAACCACATGGCAATGGCAACGATTGGGGATAGAACCTTCTTGTAATAATTTACAAAACAAGCTAGTAATTAACTACCAACATTTATCCAATAGTCACGATGAGAGAATATATATATAGTAGCATGCAATTTACAAATTTTTTCAACTTTTTCCTGTTTTCTTTATCTTTTCTTGTTGGTTCTGCAAATTGTTCCTTGATTGGAATACATGGAGTTTATTTACATAAGCCTTTAAAGAAACTCAGTGTGGATTATTAGCGCATTCTGTATGTGAATTGTAATCTGAATAGACTGCTTGTGATGCGAAGCACAAAAGCAAAAGGCCATTGCTGTCAAATGCACCATTCCTTGATTGTAGGATCAAAGAGTAAGACTTATTCCAACATCTCTAAACGGAATTACAGATCAATCTTAGTTTTCTAATTAAGGATTTCTTTTCTTAGAATTTTAGATGAAGTATAAGTTCGTATCGTGATTCTTGACAAAGAAATCTGGTAATCGTGAATATTTTTCAAAGTATTTATATATCTTGGAAATTGGAGAGTTATATGATATTTTAATTATTTAACGTATTAAATGATATTATATATTATTTTATTTATTTATCATTAGTATTATTATTTTTATTATAAAAAATATTAAAAATCAAACTTTTATTAATTAATTGTGTAACTTTCCATAATTAATTATGATAATATTTTAATAAATTTTGCCTTTTCTTTTTCACATTTTTATAAAAGTAAATCCAAAAGTGCACCATATAATATTTTTCTCGTTCTTTTCCACCATACAAAATCATTATTTTCCTCCTTTGTTTCTTCTTTTTAATTAGTTCACCTCAGCCAACCCAAAGAAAATATGAAATTTTTCTACATTTAAAAACATTTAGTAAATAATTTTTTACTCATCATTATAAAATGTGAAGTATCTGACAATAAATATGTGGAGAAGAGATCTACTTTTGTTCACTTTTAATTAAAAAATTTCTTTTAATCACTTTTCCTTTTCTTTTTATCTAAAAGAATATCAGTCATCCTATGCATCTACATTGCCTATTGTAAGTCAATTTACTTACAAATAATTATATATCCATTATTGATGGATCTATAGGAAGATCTAGGTGAATAAGACACAATTTTTAATTTACATAAAAAAAATTAACTAAAAATTTTAAGATGATAAATTTTGAGTCTTTTTCTTTAATAGTTTAATTTTTTTTATTTATATTCAATGAATAACTTAGAATCATATTTGAATTTCAAATAATCTTTTCTTCAGTGTGAGTTATTTTAAATTGGGAAGCAATGACAAAATTTAACATCAAGCAAGGAAAAAAAGACTTATAAACTAAATATCTCAATATTTAAAATTAAAAGTAATGATAATATTTTATTGAGTTGAATTAAAGTTACATATATAAAATTTCTCTCTAATAATCTTCCTTTAAAAAAGCAACCCATGATTCTCAACTAGTCACAAGTACTCTCTTACTTCTATCACTATTCATATAATAAGACACACTTATCTTATAAACCTCTATAAACAATAATTTTGATAATGAGAAAACACAACATGAAAAAAAAACATAAGTTCAATTTACATAAAATATTAACACTATCTCAAATCTAAAATCTTAAAGTGATAAAATATGAATCCAATTCACATGAGATATTAATGTCAATTTAACTTAAAATTTTAAGATAACAAATTTATAAATATTTTGTTTTTATTTATTATACTTATCAATCTGCCTCCTTAGACTTCTTAGGTAGTCCCATAACTGCATGCACTAAAAAAATAAAAAATAAAGACTAATACAAATCATTGACAATAATCAAGAAACATTTCTTGAAAAATATGTAAGATGATGCATAACATTAAGCATATTAAAGTAAAATAAGGCAAGCCTTTTCTACCGTAAAGAGAATATAAACACCAAAATATCATATGCTTTGCTCACTACAATCAAAAAGACTAATCTATCTTGATCCAAATGATTAAAGGTATTGTTTTAATAAGAAAAAACAAGTGAGTTTAAAGTTGACCAAGATGAATCTAAATTTAATCTTTTTTAAGCCAGTCTAGAACTTTTTCTGATTTTTTAGTTAGTGTATAGTATAAAAGAGAAAATTATAATTTTTTAACAAGTGAAAATTTATTTACCTTTTTATTAATGTTTAAAGGTACAATATGCAACTTTGAAGAAAAATGTTGAAGTTTTTGGAATAATTTAAAGAAGAGTTTTCCTATTTATATTTTCCTATTTATATTTTCCTATTTATATTTTCCTATTTATATTTTCAATATTCATGACAGAAAAAAAAAAGAAACATGAACTAGTTTTAGACATGAGTTTGGAGAAATTTAAAGATGAGGAAAAAAATCATTCTCAAGTAAAATTTTAAGAATGAAAGAAAATGAATGTTTGAAAGAATATCTCAATAAATTATGCCAATTTGTGAATTAAATGAAATCTCACTAAAATATAACTGATAATTGAGTAATTATTGATAAATTCTTATTAGTCTAATTAAGAATTAATGTTGTGATAAGAAATTAAGGACTTATCCACTATGACTAGTCAAGGACTCTACTAGCAAAGGTTATTGCATTGTGTTGAAAAGTTAATTAAAAGGATTTTCCATCCAAACTCATGGTAGCTTGAAAAGATGAATGAACAAATATTTATAAGTTCTCTAGAAATGGCAGATTATTGGAAGATACAAACGAAAGATTTCTTTGAACGAAAAAGACACAACTATGATGGATCGGAAATGATACCGATCAAACAAATGACAGGAAAAAAAATGTATATTATTGAAATAAACCCAAATCAATATTTTATAATAAAAAAGGTTTGGGCATGTTTATATAGATTGTTACTTTAGAAATCATCAACATAATTGATTTGTTAAAATGAAAATTGGTGAAAGAAACATGCTCTTTACTTGTCAAAAGACAATTCAAGAAGATAAGAATGTATGGTAGTTGAATAATGGCTACAACAATCATATAATTGGAAATAAAAAAACTTTTATTAATATGGACTCTTCATTTGTTTCAAAAGATAAATCAGGTAATGAAGAGCATGTTGAAGAAGAAGAACAAACAACACTGAAATTAGATCAAAGCAAGGAGGTAAAGTGATTCATATTCTTTATGGGCAAAATAGATGAAAATCTATTGATCATTGAACAATTTGTGGAACATGGCTTTTCTCTTTTATTTTAAGAATCTAGAGTGCAAATTCTTTTATTCATAGATAATAGCTGTTGTTGTGTTGAAAATGACAATCAACAAAATTTTCACTTTCTCTTAATCAGGAGAGAAAACTCAACTTAATGGCTAGAATAAAAAATGGTTATTATTTTTAGTGTAAGGGTTGTGGACTTAAACTTCAATGGTCTTTTGCATTCTCAAAAGAATCTGCTTCTGGTGCTTTTTATAAAATATAAACATATTATTATTGTTTGTTTTATATTTTAAAGTTTTTAAAATTTTATAAAGCTTAATTAATAATTTAATCTTTATATTTAAAATTACTTTTTTATTTTTACTCAATCCAATTAAATATAATTAATTTGGTCTCTATTAAATTAATATTGATGCTATTTTGAAGTGTCAAAATATTATTCATTTTCTACTATGAATTTTTATTTTTATTTTTTTCTTTACTCTTATCCATATTTATTCACCTCCCACCATATTAATTATTTGTCTAACATATTGTTGTTATCATCTAATTTATAGAATTCACTTTACAAATCATTTTCTATGCATGCATGTAAAATGTATAGTTAGATTTGACTTTAAACTTAAAATGTTATGGTTATTAAAAAAAAATAATAATAACGAATGTTCATAATTTTTTTTTCAATTATAAAAAAATTATTTATTATTTTGGTTATTTTAGAGCAAAAATAAAATGCACACTTTTTTTTATTATAGAAAATTCAAAATAATTATAAATAATTTTTTTATCATAATAATAGATATTAAGAAAATGAATATGGTAATAGATAATTCTTTTTATTGTTAACCATCTGTAGAAATCTTGAAATAGATTATGATAGAAAAATAATATTCCAACTTCAAATTTTTATACAGTTAAAAATAAGAAATATCAGGCTTGATTATTCTATATTCATTTTTAAATAAAAATTTATATTTACTTGTATTTTTATATAAATTTTGTTTTGTTCAATTTTTTCTGAAAAACGGATATATCTGTATTTATGCTTGTAAATGTATTTTTCCTCTTTTTAATATTAATTAAATAATTTTAAAAGTAATAAATAAAATATAATAATATCACATGTTCAATAATCAATGGTTATAAATAATAATTAGATAAAAAAAATCAAATTTATCTTCTAAAAATAAATTACAAAATTAATCAACAAAAAAATAATATAAACTTTTAAATTCCCTAATAAATAAAAGATACTTTAATAATTTAAAATAAAAATTAATCATGAAAATAAGTATTATAAGAATAAAAAAAATGCTTATTTAATACCTCAATTTAAATATTACTGATATTCATTAAAATTCTTTATCAAGATTTATACATATATAAGATATAAGATTAATTGTGTATAAGCGCTATTACTCAACAAATAATTTAACTTCTTTTTGTCATTAATGGGTTACTTTAGCAATAAGTTAGAATTGGTTTTTGATTATTGAATTCTAAATTTTATTTAATTTTTAGTTTTGTAAATGTATTTTTTTCAATGTTATTTAATTTGATGAGTCGGTTTAACAACGCTATTAAATAGATAAGATACGTGGGCCGATCCTACCGTTACCTTTGCCACGAAGTTATGTATGCATTTAGGAAAAAGAATAAAAGTCAAAATAAAAAATTTCTTGTTACCAAAGCCACAATAGTGTATATATATGTCACTCTCCGGCTCACAAAGCTTTTAAAGTGGCTAACGGGTCGCTAACGCTAGCCGTGCAGTTCTCTCCATTTTCTGTTCCGAAGAAGAAGCTTCGTTTCCCATTAGGGTTAGGGTTTCAGTGTTTTCTCTTCCGTGTACCTGCCACGCTTTCCTTTGTCGTTTTTCTTTAGCTCCGAGAGCTATGGAGTCTGCTCTAGTGATCAAGGTTCTGATCTTAATTTTCCTTTTTCCGTCATGTTTTCGTTTCAGTTTTCGGTCCTGAATTTTTTTCCTTCTATTATATCGTGACTTTGTGATGTGATGCTCTGCGTTTATTAATCTTGATATTTCTTAGAGAAAATGAAGATGAATTGTTTTTATTTTTGTTTGTGACGATGTTGCTAGTTGATGAGGCCTTGAGTCTGATAGTCACTATGGTGCTTTCATTCTGTGGTTGATTTTGTTACAATCTTGTCAAATTAAAATTGACATACACCCCCTTCTAGTTTCGCCTTTAATATTATTGTCTGAGTGATCGGAGCACCGAATTTTAGTTGATAAAGCCTTGAGTCTCATAGTCACTATGGTTTTATATAACACTATATGTAGTGACTTTTGGAATGACGATGGGGCTGAAACCCCAACCAATTCTTGCTGGGTTCGGCATGAACAAATTGGTTTTGCCTAGAAAAAATTTAGCGTTAGTTTCATGAAAATTAATTGATTCCTAGCATCTGCTAGATTTGTCGCGGTTGTATTGTTTTTATTCTTTTGGCTTGGAGTATTGTGAGTATTTTAAATGATTCACTTTTATGAATTTGTATTGGAATTAAAACTGTTGTGCAGTGTGGAACTTTCATTTAACTGAGGCTCTGTTTTAGTTCAATTGATGGTATTATATATATATATATATTTTTTAATATATCAAGGTTCCTGCTGATCAATGTATGATAATACATTTTTATTTAGCTGGTAATCTTTTGATGCTTAGTGTAATTTGAGGATAACCTTCATTCATTTTACGGCAAATTCATAAAATAATATTTGGTGGAAGAATCTGCTAATATTTTTTTGTGGCTTTAGATCGGTTCTACAATCATGAACATCTTTGCTTATTGCATCAATACATCACTTTTTTGTTGGACAGGTGAAATATGGGGATACCCTCCGGCGCTTCACTGCCTCTGTGGACGAGATTAATCGACTGGATCTCGACATGGTTGGGTTGAGACAGAAGATATGTTCTATCTTCGGTTTCAGTGCTGATGCAAATTTAGTTCTGAGATATGTTGATGAAGATGGCGACTTGGTGACTTTGGTTGATGATGATGATTTGCGTGATGTGATGAGGCAGCAATTGAAATTCTTGAGAATTGAGGTACTTATGAACAATGATGGCGGTGCTAAATCGACTGCTTGGTCTACTGGAAGTGCCACCCCCTTAAAATCTCCTTCTGTCACAAACCCACCTCTGGGTAGAAATACTATATTACACGAGGCTCTATCTAAATTGTCGCTTTCAAAAGCAGCATCTTCTACTCCCGTGGTTGATAATATTGCCAATTCAATTTTGAAAATAGGACAATCTGTTCTAAATTCTCATTTCCAGCCTCGTGATACAGCTGGTACAAGTTCAAAAACGGGTCCTGGAGAACATGCCACTTCTAAGGCAAAAGGTTCTCAATCTTCATATGTGGACTCAGCCTCCAATTCTACTGTCCAGGGTGAGAGTGCCACTCCCTTAAGATTTCCTGTTCCAAACCCATCTCTGAGCCCAAATGCAGATAAAGTTGCCATTTCATCTCCTGTGCCTGATCCAGTACGTGAGCTTATTTCCAATTTGTTGTATCCAAATGCTGCATCTTCTAGTCAGCTGCCTGTTAATCTTGCTGATTTAATTTCCCTACTGGGACATTCTGTTTTAAATTCTTATTGCGAGTCTCATGTTGCAACTGGTCCATTCTCTAAAAATGGTGTTCCTGAAGAACCTATCTCTGGTGAAGCAAGAGATCCACAGATGCCATCTGTGGACTTGGCTTCCAATGCCACTCAACATGTGGAGGCTGAAAACCTAGTTAGAGATGCAGCCTCTGCTTCTAATGCCACTCAACAGGTGGAGACTGAAAACATAATTAGAGATGTAGCCGGTCAACATTTGGAAGCTGGGAATGTAATCAGTGCAACTACAGCTGCGGAAGTTTCCACAGTTGATCTCAATATCCCTCCTTGTGATCCCTATTCATCTCAGTCCACAAATGTGAATAAGGCTCCACTTTCATCAGAAGTCCCTGATGGTGATTGCAGGAAGGGTAAAATGTCAACTGTCTATAGTTCTGCTGGTAAGGTTGACAGCAGTGGTACATCCTCAAGTCCTGCTGGTCCTAATGACAGTTCAACCCAGACTACTTCATTGAATGCTGGTGGTTTCTTTGAATGTCCATTTTCTGGGACATATATTAATTCTTGGACACCACATTTTGGAAACTCTCAAATGCCCCCCTTTAAAAGGAGCCATCGTCACACTGAGGCAATGACTGGTATGTTCCACAAAGGTGTGCGTTGTGATGGTTGTGGTGTCTATCCGATAACTGGACCTCGGTTCAAATCCAAAGTGTAAGTACTTTGATTTATTTGGACTTATTTATTGTTAAATTGTTTTCAGGGCCGTTTCCATGATATTTTGTTCTTCATGCAGGAAGGAAAATTATGATCTCTGCCACATTTGTTACAACGAAATGGGTAATGGTACAGATTATATCAGAATGGACCGTCCGGCTCGTTTCCCTCGATGTGTATATGAGCAATCCAAAAACTTTGTAATCACTTTTGAACACTGCTATCTTTTAACTTCTCCCTATGCTGAATCTTTGCATTTTTCACATTTTTTTTTTATGTTGCAGCCAACATTACCGCCTCATACTTTTAAAAAAAGTGCCATTTTGAAGCATGCAAGACCAAAGTTAGATAGTCAGTTCATTTTGGATGTCAATGTGCTAGACGGTACAATGATGGCTCCATCTACTGCATTTACAAAGATCTGGCGGATGCGCAATAATGGCACTGTAGCGTGGCCCAAGGGAACTAAACTTGTTTGGATTGGAGGAGACAAGTTTAGTGACTCTCATTCAGTTGACTTAGAGGTTTGATAAATATTCATACTGTAGTTTAATTATTTCCTGAAGGTCTATTATCTTTTCTCTAGGTTTGCCTTGCTCATCTTAGAATCTGTATGCAAGTTCATTTTGTGCTCTTTCTGATTAAACGTCACAGGTTCAGAATGGTGTCCCTATCGAGAAGGAACTTGACATTGCAGTTGACTTTGCAGCACCTCGGATACCTGGTCGATACACATCATACTGGAGGTTGGCAACTTCATCTGGACATAAATTTGGCCAACGTGTTTGGGTCCTTGTACAGGTAAAATGATAGTGTTGAAGGAATTTCTTACTGATACTAGATTTTACTCTTGATGGTGTAATAATAAATTTGCTCTCTTGCATCGTCGTACACACAGGTTGATGCCTCTCTCAAGGACTCATTTTATGATAACTCTCAGGGATTGAACTTGAATATTCCACTTGATGTCAGTGGATCTGAAGGACCTCTGCTTATAGATATCAATGTTAGGCCTGCCGAGGATGATACTTTTCTTCAAACCCGCATTCCTAATGCTCTGATTCAACCTGCTGAACAGGTTGATAAGGAACCAATGTTGGAACTGGAAAAGGAATTCCCTATAAATGAAGCTACATTTGTTGGCCCTTCTGCCTCAGCCCCTGCTGCAACCTCCCTGGCACCTTCCTCAATCTCTTATCCTATTATTGATTTATCTGAAACAACACCAGCTGTTCCCTCTGATCAGCAATCCTCCACTGTGGCTGTACCATCATCATCTATTATGGGGACCGATGGAATTAACTCTCTGGAGGAGAGTCTACTTAAAGAACTTGAGGTGATGGGTTTTAAGCAGGTTGATTTGAACAAAGAGGTCTTGAGGATGAATGAGTATGATCTGGAGCAATCCATCGTCGATCTATGTAGTGATGTCTATAATGTTTCTGAGTGGGACCCTATCCTTTTAGAGTTGCAAGAGATGGTGAGTTGTTTGGTTCATCTTTTATCATCAAATGCATGAAATTGAAGTCCTTTATCTTCTAATCCCCTCCTCCCATTTTCCATTCGTTCCTCTGACCATACAATATATTATTCAACTGGATACTGTTTTGATTGGTTACGGGGTTTATGCAGGGTTTCCGTGACCAAGAGATGAATAAGAGGTTGCTTAAGAAAAACAATGGAAGCATTAAGCGTGTTGTTATGGATTTAATCCAAGGAGAGTAGCTTTTGTTAAAATGTGGGTTAATAGTTAATGTAAAGTTGGCGACTAGTGCTCCTTGGGTGCTTGACATCTGTCAGGTAGACATAATTATCTTATATCGTATCTATTCCCTGTCTTTGTGTTGTGGTGATATTGCCATCACAATCCAGTGTCGGATTCAAGTATGTTTGAACTACTGTGCTTTCGTATGTAATTAATTATATTGCCTTCGCCACCCTCTGCAGTTTTTAATCTCTGCTATTTTTCTCTGAAATTAGTTTTAATAACACTTTTCATTAGCCATGATTTTTGCTACATTTGACTGGGTATTACTGAAAGATTTCATGGGTACTTACAAGATATAGAAAAAAAAAGTGAAATTTGGCAAGATAATTATATATTTGAGCTCCAGTCCAATCATAAAAAATTTATGCTATGACTCTTTTCTTTCTGCCGATTAGTTCGAAGATGGCTTCTTCGTTATATGAAAAATATCCATAGAATGTTGACATTAAATTTCTAAATACTAATCCAAGTTAAAGTGTGTTGTAAGTCATAAGCGTCTTGTGATTTATTAAGTAACTTTTACATTCCATACTGCAGTTTTAATCGTATTTATCTTTATTTAAAGTGTCTTATCTTCTGATAAGATAAACAAACAAAAACAGTAACATTTATATTTTATATTAGAATAACTAATAATTATGTATTAGAATAACTAATAATCACGAAACGAAATAAATAAACATTTATATTATGAATTTTATTTTATGGATAGAAATATGTTTAAGTTATTTTTAAGTTTAATTTTTAAATCTTTTATCAATCATTTTAATTTTTAATGAACTTGTGTGTATATATATATATATATATATGAAAAAGGATAGATGTGTCCGGTCCAAATATTAAATTGGTAAAATACTTTTTTAGATAACTTTCGATTTGTTTAGTATATACATTTAAGTTACGGCTAAGCATAGTATATGATTAAGAGGTTTCGTCCTTCTAAATCTTTTTCCACATATATAAAAAGAAAAATATAAATAAAATATCTTTTTTCTAATTTTAATATATTTTATATATTTGTTCATTCCAAAAATTTTGTAAAACTAATTTGACACTCTTAAAATATTTTCTGAAAACTCATCATTGCTCAAATACTTTTTTCTCTCATAATTTTAATTATATTTTTTTATGATTTCCTTCAAACAATATATTATATTTCGGAAAATACAAATCTAAATTTTATTTAATTAAGTTGTTTTTATAAGGCATATATTTATTCATTTCTATTCATTTTTTAATATTTTTATTTGTTTTTTTTTCATGCGTAGGATGAGTATTCCTTTATGTAAACCTTTACTTTATTTGGTTAAACATATTTTGTCTTTTCTCCTTGTTTTCTAGTTTCGTTTTATTTAAATATCATTTCCTTCGTTATGCAATTTTTATTTTCTCTTAACATTTTGACTTCTTCTGTACCACCAAGTTCACTTGATACTTAAGATAATTTCATTCTCAAACATTTGCAGAAATATAATAGCTTTAAAATTATTATTTGTTACTCTATTTTAATATATATATATATATATATATATATATATATATATAATTTTCTTTTTGATATTTAATATTAAAGAAAAGAAAATGTCTATATTTTTTATATCAAATAAATAATAATATCATGTTTATCTGTTTTATCTTCATTCTTTTATAAAAAATACATATATTTAATTAATATTTATGACCATACCAGATGAGTGTATATACCCACCCACTATCTAATAAAAACGATAACGAAACACAATTTGATAACAGACGGTCCTCATAATTTGAAATTGCAATAACTCCATGGCTATTACTTCATGCACCATATCCCTGCATCCTATCATTCGACAATTCATTTTCCGGAACACATTAAAACAAATTCAGAAATTGTTTTCCTGTAGACAATCACCCCACTTAAATAATTCTGGGCTTTTGATGAGATGCATTAAGAAATTTGATAGGATGCAGGAAGTTCTTGCCTAACTGCATATATGTAAGAGAAAGATACTGAGTCATATTAGTTGAAGACTTCTATGCTTCATGAAGTACTCGATATAGTAACATACAAGATGGTGTGTTTTATCTAATATGAAAAATTATAAAATCCTTCCATAAAATTAAAATGGTGTATTGTTCTTACTTGTGTGTGGTGTGGTGTCCTCCGTCTACCAAAATAGCCGTTCTTTTATGACAGTGAGACGCCAATTGTGGCTAAACAGTGTTCTTATATGATGGAATATGTTAGTGTCGACAAGAATTTTAAAAGATTAGTGTGAACTGACATCAAATTAAAAAGTTATAAGAAAGGAATTTCTCCATCTCTAAATAACTTTCTACTTTTTGGCCAAATATGTCTCTATATGGAGCTGCTACTTTCAATTATTCATATGTCAATCTGGTCATATATCAGAACCATTATCTATTTTCCTTTTCATTACAGTACCAGATAGAGATATTATTAACCATTTGATTATGTGATTTTGACTCCAACTTTCTACTCTTTCTTCCAAATGAAAAATGTTATTAATGCAGTGTTATATCACTAATCCTTGTTCAGATTTTAGTTATTTTTAATGAATTTTAATTAATAAAAGTGAGTGTGTGTGGCTTACTTGCTTGCCATGGAATTAGATTCCTTGGAGGAATGGAATGTAACATAGAGGTAGAATCTGCTTCCTGCTTTTGGAGATGATAAATATCCAAGGAATTAGATTCAAAGCCATCGATTTAAGAACAAACAGAGGTTGTTGTACCTGCCATTCTGTCTATAAATTGCAGTGTGTGATAGCAGATTAATGGTGTAGTTGTGCTTATATACCTGTCCTTGTGAGAAAAAACCATCAGAAAACAATGCTGCGCTCGGAGGACTACCACGCCCACATATCAAAAGTTCACAGGTCACAGAGTGTTCTCACAGATGTCCCTCGCTACCCCAATGCTCACATGGCTTTCAACAACGCCCATAACAACTCACATTCTAATGAGAGGGCTGAGATGGTAGAGTATGATCAGACTGAGGATGGTGAAGTCATGTACCAAGAAAGGGTTCAGTCCAACCCAGGGAAGAACAAGGCTCGATTTGAATTACACAAGTGGAAGACCTACAGGCCTTGAGAAGAACATGACCAAGAACACAGTTTGCTACAAAAACTACCTAATACATCAAAATCATCAGTATGTATGATTGTGAAATAAATGCCTGCTCAGCAGGCTATTGTGTTTGCTTAAGTGTTTTATACCAGTAGTACATTAGTATTGTTTACCATGTACGAACTATAAATGAAGCATATACATGAGTTATCTACAACATATTTGAACTATAGCATGCTATGGTTTATTATTTGTTTATTCCAACTTTAATTCTTCTGACTTAAAACAGCTAAATCTGTGAGAAAATGAGGGGACATATTGAATAAAATTGAAGAGTAAACGAAACTTAAAAGAAGATAAAAGTCATGTATCATTTTGGAGTGGAATATTGGGGGCATTAAAGCGCCTGGAAGACCTAAAATTGAACAGATTCCTGAGGCTATTCTTACTCTCAGGCTTTCGCTTGGGTTGGATTGGAGTGGAACCACATAAATCATGAAAAGGGTTATCTAAAGTTAACCCTGTCTCGATCCTTCTGGACACAGTGACAAGCTCATAGGAGTCCCAGAGTGAGTGCTGAAAGTCCCAATGAGTGTCTTTAGAAGAAGTTGGTGGCTTGCTCAAAGCTTGAAGCTTAAATCTTGAAGGCTTGCCTCTGAAATTCCTTCGATGAGCGTCGAATTCGGCCATGGGCTTGGAAGTGCCGGAGCGGCTGTACCAGGCCTGTGCAACGGCTTTCAAAACTTCCAAGTCTTGGGGTTCGTGTCGTGGGAGCTCTGCCCTCTTCTTCATGGCACTGACAAAACATTTTCTTCAAGACGCCATGTTCCTGCTCATGCTCACGGTCGTGTTACTTTCGTTGAAACCACGGCCTCACATATGCCATACGGAAAGGGATAAGCTCACGCTGGTGCAGATGCAATTTCTTTCTTTTCTTCTTTTTTTTTGTTTTTCTCTTTTTTTTTCTCTGGTTGCTCTGAGTGCATTTCGTCTTATTATCCTAATTTTTGTGAACAATAGTTTATTTCCGTCTCGATGAATTAACGTTAGTTCGTGCGAATTTACCCAGTATGATGATGAATTATCCTTCAACTCGTTTATTTTATATTCATACAAAATTAAGATACGTCAAATTCGATGATTAACAACTCGTTAAAATAATAATTGCTTACATTACTTATTATTTTACTAGTTTATATCATTTATTGGTGTATAAAATATGTTGAGATATAATATTTATTGTTTTTATTTAATTTTGATTTATAAATAAGATTGAGTAGAAAACCTAATTTATCAATCTTGTTTCTTTTCATAAAGTGGGACGGGGAGTAACAAGTTCGAACGTAATTCAGACATCCTATTGCTTTTATGAAGAAAAAGTCCTTCTGTTTTCAGCATTTCCTAGTTGAAAACTTCAATTTTATTAATGTTTTTCCTTTCATTTTTGAGAGACTGAAAATTAACTACTTATATTATAGAAAATTAAAAGTAAATCACTCATAGTTTACAAATATAACAGTGTTTGTCACGTAGATCCTTGTTTAAGGAATGCAACATGATATAACAAAATCATTAACAAAACTAAATTTAACACATTTAGTTTTATAAAAACAAAAAAAGAATTAACTAATAAATTTATAGGGACCAAAATCATATTCTACTTAAAATAATAATATTTAACTTAAATCCATGGAAATTTCATCAAGGATCATAAAGAAACTTTTCAAGTTCAAATATCACTTTGAATTCATAAAATAAGCAATATTCAAACAAAAAGGAACCAATGGTTAAATTATTAACACTGAAAATTATTTTATTAGAATTAATTTTTTGATTAAAAAAGGTTCAAAGGGTGCTTAACAAGAACTTTGTATTTTATAAGGTCTCATCTTTCTAATGGCGTTTAATTCCTTCGTAGTGTTACTAAATTTTGCACAAAGTGGAAGGCTTTAAAAAGAGAGGGGAAATCTTTCATATATGAAAGAAACAATGGATGGAAAGATACATGAAGATCATTTCCTATATTGAAAGTACGCAAAGATATGTAGCAATAGCATTCCTAAAGTTGGTTGTGGCCAAACTGTCACAAACATTCATGAAGAATCCATCCCCAAAGACTAATATATTAGGTGAGAGAATCTCTATATTTGAGTAGTAGCATGCCAAATAGTTCATCCTATTCAATTCAATGAGAGACTGCTAATATTATCATCCTTTTTAAGATCCAAAGTGCACTATAATTTCACTCATCTATCAGCATTTGACTAGTACCTTTTCAATCTATAAATAACCCTCTCCGTGGCACAACTCTCGACAAAAACACCAAATTGGTAAGAGTTAAATTACCTTGATTCGAGGTTAAGGAGTGTCCTAAGAGAAGGTGATAGGGAAGAAGGGTACAACTTCTTGATTAGTTCAAGACTACCATCGAAAGAGATAGATATATAACGAGACTACAACCACCGATACTCAGCAATGTGCACCGTCTAGCAACTAATGAACTCCTACAATCTTCAAAAATTGGACACATCGCACTTCAACATACATGCGGCAAAATCTGCTAAATTCAAGGGATGCTTCATGGACCCTTCATTGAATTCTTCTGGGGCCTCCACACTCTTCGATGGACTGCAGAGTAAAAGTAGCTGAATTTCTTACACTACCAACTTTAGTCAATAATTCTGACATCTTTAATAAGATTTTCTCTCACTAACATGAGTAACTTAAGACGGCAATGAGAAGAGATGCAATAGAAAGTTATGAAAGAGCATGGTTCATTAAAAATGATTCGATAATAACATTCTTGTTCCAAGGTGAATAGTCAAGCATTTGTCTCAACACGGTTGAAATTCAAAATTGAAATTATAAACCAGGAGTCGATATAATAAACAATGAACTAACTTCAGAAGCCAACACAACATTCCCCTCAAATATTTTTCGTGTTATGAATTGTAAAGCATGTACATCCATCTCCGTTAGAGAAAAAACACTAAAAGCTATAATGCAGAATCTTCTGAAAAATAGCCATTGATGATAACTTTACGGGTATTAGATGAAAATTTGTTATAATTTAAAAATGAAACTTAGCCTCACATCACTTCCTGTGTCCAATGGTTTTGCAACGGCTAATGATCAAACTTGATAGTATCAATAATTTGAACTTTGAAGAAAGACGAGATACCTACTGAGAGAAAAGTTCTAGGGATCAGGCAGCTGAGGAGTCTGAGTGTCCCTTTCAGATGAACCGAAAAGTTTAGAGATTTTAATGTGTGTACGGATATGGTGAGGAGTCTTGTACAATAGATCCTTGGCCTCAGAGAGTCTACCCTCTTCGAATAAGGATTCAAAAACCTGAACGTAAACAGCATGGGATGGGTAACTTTTTACACTCAATGCCTTCAGGAATGCCTCAGCATCCTCCACAGACCCAAACTTTGAAATATAAGGCACAAAGGGTAGATGATATGGAGGGTAGTTGTGGGTCTTCATCAAACGAAGAAGTTCAAGTGCTTCCTCAAACTTCATGTCTTCCAATAGCTTTTCAATCAGTTTTTTATATGTAGCTTGCCATGGAGATATACGACACTTCCTACTAATCTCTATAAGCAACTTGTACGCACCTTCTATTCTCTTTTGACTAAGAAAACCGTCAACCAGAACATCCAATAAATCAGCATCAGGATAGCAGTCCTTTTCAATCATCTTAGAAAAACAAAGTAAGGCTTTGTCTAATTCCATGGCATCACAATGCCCTTGGATCAAAATGGTCCAAGTCTTAATATCAGGGATGCATCCACAAGACTGCATCTCCTCCAGCACCTTACATGCTTCTTCAAACCTCCTCATCTTGCAAAGTCCAAAAACCAGTTGACTGTAGGTGATGTTATCAGGCTCGTGACCAGCATTTCGCATAGTCCTAACAATATTTTCAGCTTCATCAAATTTCCCAGCACCTGTCAAAGACCTGTGGATTCCATCATAGATAGCCTTGGAGAGAGTGTGCCCTGTCGACTCATATTTCCTAGTAACCCTGAAAACTAAATCCAGATTTGGCTTATCACTTGCAGATATGCTCTTCAAAAGGAGAATGCAATCTTGAACCAGTGGCTTATATGAACCATCCATCATATGCTCATAAAGCTTGACAGCATCCTCCATCATCCTATTCTTTTGAAGCTGCCTCGATATCTTTATGTAAGTATCAATATCCAATTGATGACCCACACTCTTCATCTCTTCAATAACACTCCAAAACTCCTGAATTGAGTCGTTCCTCGCGAGAACACTTGCAAATGCATTGTAAGTCACAGTATTATGCTCATACCCCGGTTGTGTCCCAACCCAACGAAAGAACTTGTAAGACTTTAGAGGAGTATTTCGAAGCTCTTTCAAAACCCTTAGTACAAAATTATCCGACAGTAGAATTTTAAGCTTAGCGAGTTCACCCATAACCTCCTCACCCCATTCAGACACTGAAATGATACCAACCACCTTGGTGACAACACTCTGCATTGCATTCTCCTCTAGCATCCGATTATAAAATTGGGTCAAAGCAACGGCGTCACTGTTCATCTTTTCCTTTTTAAAGCGAACAAAAATTGTGAGATATGTTTCTTCGTTGAGATAAAACCCCTTTTCCTTCGTCATCCCTAAAGTAATCCAAAATAGTTTCATAGTATCCTTGGTGGCCAAGATCCTAACAATTAAGCTGAACACCGAAGAGCTTGACCTAAACCAGTCTTTATTAATGACCCAATTGAAAAAGCACGAAGCTTTTTCTGGGTTTTTATCCAACCGCTTTATGACGTAAATAACGGTTTCATGGGTCATTGACGGGCAACTATTTTCTAAGCTGAGCTCTATCGCTTGGGACCAATCGTTGGTCAAAACAAGGTCCACAATAGAGCTCGGCTTGGTAGAAAAATAGAGTTTGCGGTGACTTACGGGAAATTGGAAATTGTGACGCGAATCCAAACGGGGCAATGGATTGAGAGAGAAGTGAGTCACCTGATTCCGAGTCACCAGAACTCTGGTAGCGAGTGAAGACTCGAGCACCCTGAGAGAAGCGGCAACTGCTTTCACGCGGTTCATGGTAACACCAAAATGGACAATATAGGTCTAAGGGTTAGAGAGGGTTTAAGGAATAACCGCTGTCCACGGGCACTTAGCTTTTATGGATCCAAGCCATGGGTTTCCATGGTGGTTAATTAGTGAATAGAGAAATAAAACAAACACTCGTTTTATTCTTTTAGTTTATTCATGAAATAAATTTATACAAATGAACAAATTGCTTCGTTAAAATTAATTTTTTTTACTGTATATTATACATAATAAATATTTATTTCATATAGTTAAATTACAATAAATAGAACTATTTAATTTAATTCACAATATATATATATATATATATATATATATATATAAATACAATTTTAATTTAATGATTTGTAATTTCTTTTAGAAATATTAAATTTCAAATTAGAACATAATATTTTAAAAATGCTAAATTGAAAAAAGAAATCATTTTTCAAATTAAATTTCACGACACTAAACTCTTTGCCACATTATTTATAAAACTCAATCCATTTAATATAAGATAAATAGTGAGTTTAATATAATAATTATTTACATATTTATTTTTATTTTAGTATAATGAAAAAATACAATCTTAATATAAAAAGTTTAAGTTAACTTGGAAGCAGGATTCTTTTTTCTCAAAAGCAGAGGGATTAAAATTTTCAAACAACAACGTTGGATCATGGAGCCTGAGAGCAGAAAACCTGGACAAATGGTACCTCTGGCGAAGAAACTTATCTGAGGATCATCAATCCAGAAGAAAATGGTGATACCGAGATGGTGCTCTGTACACCGTATCTCTCATGCTACATTGATATTGTTTTAGCGCCTTTTGGATTCTCTCCTTAGATATACTCTCGTTACCTGCAAGTCAAATTCTAATTTTTCTGGAGCTTGAAGCTTTTCACAGTGCTCCCGGGACTTCTGCTCTGTGGATTTTTTTATAATTCCTTAGTTGCAGGATTGTGAAAAAGGTGAGCTACCAATTTCTTTCTCTAAAGAATGTACATATGTTTTTGTTTAGTTGTTTCATACTATAATTACTAATTTATTGATATGTATAATATTTGTGATCCAAACTTAATGTTTTTAAGATAAACTCTTTCTACTTATTAAGAACTATTCTTAGTTTTTATCTTTTAATTTCCTAATTTAATTTAGGTTCTCTCATTACATTTCCCCCTTCTACGGTTTTCTTCCTGTTGAATTTTGATACAAGGGTATTTGCATCATGGAATTTATTCGTTTGTCAATCATTTTTACAGTATAATAAGAATGGCTAATGTGCCTAGAACTATAATAATAATAAAAAGAATATTAATATTTTGTATTGTTGAAAATCAGTTATATTTTTCATAAATTTTATTGTGAATATACTTAATATTACGTGTCACTAAATTATTAAAAAAATATTATATAAACAAAAAAATTAGCGTGTTGTGTGCTGTCAAAATATATTGTATTATTTATTTGTTATTATCATTTTTTAATTTTAGTATTGCAAATAATTTTTACAAAATATATATAACTCAAATCTCATTTTATATAATTATTATCAGACAATTTGATAATTTTTATTTTTTATTTATTAAAATATTTTTTTTAATTTATTAGATCAGTCAAATTCTTTACAAATTTTATTTTCAAATTCACTCTTAATCATTTCTAACTATTTCAAAAAAAAATAACAATCTATTCTTAAATCTTTTCAAATTTATTCACTCTCTTTTATTTAAATCCTTCTACTTAAACCAATACAACGAATGAAAATATCAATAAAGTTTGACATTAAGGTTACACTAAATTTTAATTTAATTATTTCACAATTTATCTCTATTTTGTTTCTCCAAATTCAACTCATTGATATATCTTAGTGAATTATGAAAACACTGAAGTTTAATACAAAGTTCATGAATTCTTATCCAAAACCCTTTTTTTTAGAATATATTTTCATCTCAACAAATAAAGGACTTAAATCCATATAAAACTTATTAAATGTGCTAAATCTCACTCTCAAAAGTGAATTTCATTCTTCATTGAAATAGTTTCACGTCAATTTCCCTCCGTTAAAGTATATTAGAAAGTACTTTACTTCTTTAGAGTTTTTTTTTTTTTTAATTTTGCACGCATAAGGTATTTTCTTAAAAAGCTTAAACTTGAATTGATTTAATGCTAATCTAGTAGTAAATATAATCGATCACCCTACTATCTACAACACCTTGGATGAACTTTACTAACAATATTAGGAACCAAAATTTTGAATATCCAAAACCATACTGAAGCATTATTGTAAATTTAATATTTTTTAATCATGCTATTGATATGAATATTCATCACCAAAAATAATAGTTAATATTGTGGAAAACGGGGCTATAGCGCAGAGTACAATTTCTTCAGCCAACTAGGTTCCTTTAATACTACTGTAGCTCAAAGCTCATCAGAGTGTCTTCCTCTCAACATGAGCTTTTATTTTCCCTCTCTGGCCTCCTATCAAATATCTTCTAATTGGAGCAGTAAATTCCAGAACATCAATCATGTATTGTACAACGATAAAAAAAAATTAATAATAATAATAAAATCAATGCCCTAACAAACTCGTCTAAACATTAGCATTAACAAAATCAATGAGCTAAAGTTAGCATTAACAAAAATGGAAAATTTTCTAAACAAAACAACAACTACAACAATGAAGAGCTTATTAATATACATTAGAAGATCATTATTCCTTTTCCAAATTGTGTACTCAACTCGTAGGCCGTAGTCGAAACACATTTGAATCGAAAAGTTCACGGATTTCTTTGGTTTTACTCATATAGGAGGGTATTTTGCTCAATAGATCTTCGGCCTCAGAAAGTCTACCTTTTCCAACCAAAGATTTAAAAACACGAAGGTAGATCAAATACGACCGGGGACTTCCCTTACTCTTCAGGAATTTTACTGCATCTTCAACAGACCCAAAATTAGAAATATACTGCACAAAGGGTTCAATGATCGGTGTGTGTTTGTGTATCCTAGTCAAACAAAGAAGGTTGAGAGCCTCCTCAAATTTCTCAATTTTCAATAGATTTACAATCAGTTTCTCATATGTACTGCGTGACGGAGATGCACCGTGTTTGGTAGCAACCTCTACAAGTAACTTGTATGCATCATCTATTCGCTTTTGACCAAGAAAACTGTCTGTCAGAACACATAAAACAGCAGCATCAAGATTGCAGCCCTTTTCAATCATCTTATGTAAACATAGTAATGCCCTGTCTACTTCATTCGCAACACAATGCCCTTGGACCAATAGGGTCCAAGTCTTAGTATCAGGGATGCAACCACAAGATTCCATTTCCTCCATCACTTTACATGCTTCTTCAAGCCTCCTCATCTTACAAAATCCAACAATCACTTGGCCATATGTGATGTTATCAGGTTCATGACCAGCCTTTCTCATACGATTAACAATATTCTCAGCTTCGTCAAGTTTCCCAGAATTTGTCAAAGACCTGTGGATCACATCATAGATTGCCTTGGGGAGTGTGTGCTCTGTTGACTCATATTTCTTAGAAACCCTGAAAACTAAATCCAAATTTGGCTTATCACTTTCAGAGATACTTTTCAAAAGAAAGCTGCAATCCTCAACAGATGGCTTATACGAACTATCCATCATAAGCTCATAAAGCTTGACAGCATCTTCCATCATCCTATGCCTTTGAAGCATCCTTGATATCTTTAAGTAAGTATCAATATCCAATTCATGACCCACACTCTTCATCTCCTCAATAACACTCCAAAACTTCTCAATTGAATCTATCCTCGCCAGAACTCTTGCAAGTGCATTATAAGTCACTGTATTATGCTCATAACCAGATTGTCTACCAACCCAACGAAAGAACTCGTAAGCCTTTAAAGGAGTGCTTCGAAGCTCTCTCAAAACCCTTATTACAAAATTATCGGAGAGCTGAATTTTAACCTTTGCAAGTTCACCATTAACATCATCACCCCATTTAGACGCTGAAATGATGCCAACAACATTGGCAACAAAACTATGCATTGCATCCTCCCGGATACTCCGATTATAGAAGTGGGTAAGAGACGTGCAATCCCTGTCCATCTTTTTCCTTTTAAAAACGACTAAAATTGACAAATACATTTCTTCATAAAAATAAAACCCTCTTCTCTTCATAGTCCATAGAGTAATCCAAAATTGTTTTATCGTCACCTCAGTGGCCAAGATCCTAAGGATTAAACCATACACTGTAGAACTTGCTCTAAACCATTTTTTGGTACTGACCCAATCGAAAAAGCGCCATGCTTTTTCTGGGCTTGCTTCCAACCGCTTCAAAACGTAAACAACAGTTTCATGGGTCAGGGATGGGTAGCATTTTTCTAACTCGTTCTCTAACTCCTTGGACCAATGGCTCGTCAAAATAAGCTCGGCAATGGGAATTGATTTCGAAGAAAAGTAGATCTTTCGGTGGAGGTTGGGAAAGGGGAAATCACGAGAATGATCCAAAAAGGGTGATGGAGTGTGAAGAGAGAAATGAGTCACCTGGTTCTGAGTGAGTCGGATAGACCGAGTTGCAATGAGTCTCCTGGTGACTGGCGAGTCGAGGAATCTGAGGTTAGCAACAATTGCCTTCAAAGGATTCATTGTAGATCAGATTCAGAGGGACGAAGCCAACTTTGGAGCCTTGCATTACCGGCAGCTTACGAGGAATTCAAAATGGGCTATGTAGGGTTTAGCATTAACCACCTTTCTCGCGAACAGATCCGGGTCCGGGTCCATCCATGGGTTGCCATAACCGGATTTTGCTAACCTTCGGATCCATTTTAATAATTACTATTATCATTATAAAAGGGGAATTAGTTCGTTGTAAAAGTTAATAAAAGAATAATACTGTAAAGGAATGCAGAAGGGGTGCTGAAAACAGACCAAAAAAAGTATTCATTAATTATGGAAAGTTAATTTTAGTTTAAAGATCAAAAAATTTATTATTTCCTTTTATCCCAGATCATCATTACAAACTTGTTTTGCCATACTAGTTTCTAAAACTATTTTCAGAGTAATTTACAATCTGTTTTTTATTATCAAATTTTAAGAAG